GTAAGTTATGACATACTTTCTTGTCTTCTTTTTTTCTTATTGCTTTTAAGGAGTTTGGGTATAATGGTATTATTTCTTCCTTAAATAATAAATATAATTTATGTGAAGCCATCTGGACTTGGAGTTTGCTTTGAGTTTTTTTTTTTTTTTTTAAACTAGACTTTTTAAAGAGCCATTTTAGAGTTTAAAAATTTGAGCAAATAATACAGATACTTTCCATATGCCCCCTGCCTTGCAGTTTTCCCTGCTGCTAACCTCTTACACTAGTATGGTACATTTGTTACAATTAATGAACTGCTATTGATACATTATTATTAACACAAGTTTATACTTTATTTAGGTATTCTTAGTTTTTAACCTAATACCATTTTTCTATTCCAGGACCCCATTCAGGATACATCCCATTTAGTTGCTGTGTCTCTTTAGGGTCCTCTTGGCTATGAAAGTTTCTCAGATTTTGATTGTTTTCAATGATCTTGACAGATCTGAGGAATACTTGTCAGGCTTGTTGTAGGACGCCAAGCTAATAGAATTTGTCTGATCTCTTTTTAAAAATTAGGCTATTAGTTTTGGGATGCAGATCACAGAGGTAAAGTCCATTTGTATATAATATCAACAACACGTGCTATCAACATGAGTCATGACTGCTGATGTTGACCTAGGATGCCTGACTGAAGTAGTGTCTGTCAGGTTTCTCCATCATGAAGGTACTATCCCCATCACTGTCCCTTCCACACTAAACTCTGGAAGGAAGCCCTTATGCAAGCCCACATTTAAGAAATGGGAAGTTATGCTTCCTCCTTTAGGGTGGAGTAGCTGCATAATTTATGTGTTATTCTTCTGCATGGGAGATTTGTCTCTTTTCCCTCATGTATTAACATATTCAATCATTTATTTATATCAGTATGGACTCATAGATACATTAAGGTATAAGACTACATTTGTTTTGTTTTGTTTTGTTTTTGAGATGGAATCTTGCTCTGTAGCCCAGGCTGGAGTGCAGTGGCATGATCTTGGCTCACTGCAACCCCTGGTTCAAGCAATTATCCTGCCTCAGCCTCCTGAGTAGCTGGGATTACAGGTGCGCGCCACCACACCCAGCTAATTTTTGTGTTTTTAGTAGAGACGGGGTTTCACCATGTTGGCCATGATGGTCTTGAACTCCTGACCTTGTGATCTGCCCTCCTCGGCCTCCCAAAGTGCTGGGGTTACAGGTGTGAGTCACTGCACCCAGTGAAGACTGCATTTTTATCTTGGTGCTCATATTGTTCTAGCTTTGGCCACTGGAAGTACTTTCAAGTGCCAGTTTTGTTTTAGGTTTTGTTTTTTAATTAATAGACTTAATTTTTTGGGAGGAGTTTTAGGTTTACAGAAAAATTGAGTGGAAAGTACCAAGAGGTCTCTTATACTCTCCTTTGTGCCCTCTACCACAGCCCCAGTTTCTCCTATTATTAATGTTTTGCATTAGTGTGGTACACTTACAACAATGGATGAACCAATATTAATACATCACTAGTAACTAAAATCCGTAGTTTACATTAGGGTTCGCTCTGTCTGGTTTTAATTTCTGTGGGTTTTGACAAATGTATAATGATATATATACATCATTACAGTATCATAAAGGATAGTTTTACTGCCCTAAAAAGCCCATGCTCCCCCACAACCCCTGGTAACTACCGATCTTTTTACTGTCTCCATAGTTTTGTTTTTTCTAGAATGTCATATACAGCCATGAGCTGCACAATGATGTTTTGGTCAAAGGCCAGGACAGACCACATAGACGACAGCAGTCCCATAAAATCATAATGAAGATGAAAAATTCCTATCACCTAGTGATGCCTTAACCCTCATATTGTAATAATATATTCTGTGTTTATGGTGATGCTGGTATAAACAAACCTACGGCACTACCAGTCATATAAAAGTATAGCACATACAATAAGGTAGAGTATACTTGAAAATAAATGACTATGCTATTGGTTTATATATTTACTCTACTTTTTACCATTATTTTACAGTATACTCCTTTTTTTTTTTTTTTTTTTTTTTT